CCTTATTGGAACACGCATGTGAGAAAGACAGTAGAAACAAATGGTATTACTATAAATTTTGCAAGTCATTTTGATGAAATTATTTTCAGTGAAATGTCTGAATGAGATGCAGCATACGATTTTTGAGATAATCGATGAATGATGGTGTAAACACTGTTAATCACAATTCAATACAAAATGGTCCAAGAAAGTAGATGGAGAAATGGCAAAGGGGATGACAAGAACTATGCCATAGGGAGATGAAAGAGAATATCACCAATTTTGAGGACTGTAGGGACAAACTGAAAATTATAACAGGAAATTTGGCATCGTTAGGGGCGACCATTTGATTTTTGATGGGGGGGGGGGAGGGAGGGGGAGAGCATGCAAAAAATATGTTGCACAAGAAAAAATATCGAGCAATACATTTTTTATACGTGCTCACGAAAAATAAAAACCATCCCCGCCCCATCAAAAATTAAAAGTTGAGGTCCTTTTAGGGGTTTTAGGTATAAGCTATACTTCCCCAAAGTATTTTAGTTATAAAGTATTAATAACGATGGACTTTTGGGTGTAAAGTACAAATTATTAACTGATGAGTCTTCAAAATAGACATTTTGTGTTTGCATTTAATTGTGTCAACTGTCAATAGTGACCAATAATGGTCAATAGTTATCGCTTCTAATGCCTCTAATTCTATATAATTCTATCTTTAAAACTACTGGGGTTTTTTTCAAACTGGTAAATTTTTTCAAAGCCTCCCTTCTTTCGTCTCTCTGTATTTTTCAAAGCCCCCCCCCCCCTTTCAGGTTTTAAAAAATTTAAAGCCCCCCCCCCCAGTTTCTCCTCAATCCCCCTTGTATAATAAATAATGATAATATTTTAAAAGAAAATGACCATTCATCACCCCAGGTAAATTGCTAATTATGCATAAAATAACTAAATAATATACATGGCAGAAATTAAATATCCTTATTATTTCCTAAAAAAAAATTATCATGGGATGAAAAACTGAATTCAAGTATCAAAATAATAATGCACAGTGAATAGAATAAAAATTGCCGTCGTTGCCGCAATGATCCACGGCATTTTGGTCTCCCTCTACGGCAGTTGCTGCGATAAAATTCGAGCCCTGCTCTCGTGCATTCTCACTATCTTTGAACGGATTCAAAGTTTGATGAGAGTTTTTTCGCTACTAATATCCAGTTAATTCTCATGCAACTCTTGGGCCTGTTTCAAACGTTGCGCCTCTTCAAACACATTAGAAACAATAGATCATGAGGCATTTCTCAGCTGATTATCTATGTTTTTAATGCTGTTTTGGTACGGTATTCAAAACCAATCCCCACCTATATCCCGGGGTGAGGGGGGTCGGGGTTTACTTTGACTGGTGCATAAAGATTTCTCGTTGATATAGTAAATCCCACTAATCCGAAAGAGAAATTCCGATCAAAAATCCCAATTAATTACACTTTTACCAGCTATTAATCCATGCTACGTATGCTATTCACAACAGACTAAAGAAATACAAATGCCTGTATTCTAAAAGCTCCCTGACACTCACACTCAAAGAGTGGACGTTCAGTTCTGAGCTTCCCTTGAGTGTCAATACTGCTTTCGAATAGCCGGAGGGTTAGTTCCGTACCTTAGGCCACTACAAGTTGATCTTTAGTTTCTGGTCCGCCGCCCTCATCATTTCTCCGTAGAGTATTATTTCAGGACTATTTTGTTGTTTACAATTAATTTCAAGTTCTTGAAAATTTTTGCGAAGGATTTAACTAATAGAACGATAAATAATCAATTTACACTAAAAAGACCTAGCAAAATGAAGTATTGAAGGGTAAAAACCGATGCCTTATAAGTCTGCGTTCTCATTTGGCCATCATGCATGCACAAGATTACGAGCCGTACGAGGTAAAAAAATAATATAAATAATCATTTTGATATGTAAAATCCTTTGTAATCTGTTGTGCATGTCTATTTTTAAATAATGTAAATGCAATTTACGTAACATTTTATAATATTTTGATACAATTAGCATGAAAAGGGACAAAAAGGACCACAAAAATGTGGGCAAACCACAATTGTAATGATGTCCTATAGTCCTAACCACCCGCCCGCCCGCGTCGTAAACGGAGGTAAGGCCGGACCAGAAACTAAAGATTAACTTGTAGTGGCCTTACTATAGACATAGAATATATAATAGACCAGAAGCCTCACTGTACACCTTTCCTTAACATTTTCGTGTCCCCGATTTTTGCCTTGCGGATCACGAATTTCGCACGCTAGATGACGTGTGTGACACTTGCTGCGAACATCACGTCAGTGTTCGTCAGCAAAACGGTTAAAACAGCAATCTTTATTACCTGGTAATGGCAATTGATGGCGTAATTGCTTGTGTTTGATGGCGTGGATTACACTTGCTGGCTCGCGCCTGCGCATAAAAAATCTCGGACATAATTTTGGCACAGTGAGGCTTCTGGTTTATTTTCTATTCTGTGCTATGGACTACTCACCCCCAGCTATTCAAGAACAGCATTAACATTCAAGTGAAGCTCAAATTGAACCTCCACTCATTGAGTGTGAGTGAGCTTTTAGAGACAGGCGAAAGACTTCACAGGTATAACGGTATAACTATTAATTATCAGAACGGTTTTGTAAATGAAAGTTTCATGTGTGAATTTTGTACATTTATTATATTATAATAAATGTACAAAATTCACACATGAAACTTTCATTAAAAAGCCTAGGTCATCTGGCATTCTAAACTACAGCTACCTTGCGATTCCGGTGCAGCGCTCTAACCAGTTGAACTACAGAGGCAGTTGTCAAGACGTCCTAATCGAAAGTAACACTGCTTACCTCCAAGTTCGCTTGCCAGATAGCTTTACGATAATTTTCGACGTATTCATTCTCGTACACTTTACCGTGAAACTTTTTCCAGATTTCCCATTGGGCGTCGTTTCCCGGCAATTCCAATTTACCGTATGTTTGTGAAATACAGACAAAACAAACGAACGAACGATAGAACAGACAACAAAGAGGTCGTAGTCATATTGAAACGCTTGCGAAGTTAGCAAGCCGTTTGAATTCGCTTCGGTCATAGATTAAGTAAGAACAGATGTGTAACTTCAGTAAAAAAGTTGTCCCACGGTCGCCATCTTCCTAGCAAGTGTCGCTCGCGTGATTATTCGTCATTTGGTAGTACGTCATTGCCTTCAAAAATGTTTTCAACACCTTTT